GTGCTAAACGTTGTTGGAACAAAATAATTTTTCGCGCCCAAATGTTTGTCTTCGATGGCGGCAGCGAGTCATTCGGTGACTGTTCTTTAACAAACAAAAGTTCAACGAAACAATCGTAACGCAAATCCGCTTTCAAGGAATGACGAGCATGAAGTCGATTCAGAGATTAAGGGATTTGCAATATTAAGACATCCTGTAGCTAAAGTCTCCTAAAGGTCGTGCACACTTGTCTGCAGATGTTTTCAAAAGATAATTAATTATCAGATTATACAGTTGCATCTTGACGCGACTATGTCTATAGAGATGAAATGACACTGCAGATCAAAAGTGAAAACCTATAGATTCAATGTTGAAGTAATCTAATATATAAATTCTCGTGTCACGGGGTTCGAACTTGAACTCCTCCGAAACGGCTCGACCGATTTTTACCAAATTTTATATGCGTATTCAGTAGGTCTGAGAATCGGCTACTATCTATTTTTCGTCCCCCTAAATGTTAAGGGGGTAGTCCACCTAAATTTTTTTTTTATTTTTTATATAAAACTTTTTGTTTCTATTTTTTTATGACACAACATACAAAAATACATACAACCCTAAATTTTCACCCCTCTACGCAGACGTAGTCGCGGGCAGCAGCTAGTAGGAATATAATATATATATACAGAATAAAGAAACATAATATCTGAATATAAAATAACAACTACTAATTAGACTAAAATGGATACTGTCTAATCGCTGAAGAGTTCTGAGAGGGACCTTATATGTAATTTTATATGTTTTATCGTACCTGAAAATGAAATATTTACGGTTAATTAAATTATACTAGCTAGAGAGTTCTATGAAAACATATTATTTAAAATAAAGTAACAAAGGTTATAAATGACCCTTTGCTGAGCAAAGGCTTCCTGTATATACTTTAGATATTTTGGAAATATTATTTTTTGTTATTTTTCCGAAAACATGCAGGTTTCCGCACCATATTTAGCTCCATCACTGAGCAAGTGATACGTCAGCACATCAAATTAACAATTTCATTGGTGCCGGTACTGGAAATCGAACTAAGGTTACCCAAGTACATTGAATCGAAAGCGAGCACCCGGACTGAGGCATTACGGATGGGAAATATTTAACTTAATATAAAAATAAACATTTAATGCTAAATGAATGTAATGTTAATGGTATGCGATATCGTAGATTAAAACAGCTATCAGTGGGCGGACTGCCTTAAGAAAGGATTACGGTTTGCGTCCTGTTTGCGTGAACATGAGCCGAATCATTCATTTTGCTTTAATCTACCGCAGTAACTGATTGTGAGAACTTAAGAATGGCTAAATATGCTTGCTTTGTGCACAAATTATTATGTAGTCTGCTATGTAGCCTTAGTCCTTAGTCCGCCAATCCGCAGTGGGGCCGCGTGGTGGACTTTTTTTTTTTTTTTTTTTTTTTTTTTTCGTGGGGATATCCGTTATGGATACCTGGCCTCCCACATACCAGGAAGCAAGGTGATGTCGGACTCGCACCGACTAAAACCCCACGGTGGACGCCATCAGCTGTCATGTGGGGTCACGGGATCTCCGTTTGGAACACTACCGCAGCCCCCCTTAGCTTGGCTTGAATAGCCTCGTCACTGTAACATCACTTCACTACACCCACCCCTGTGGTACAACCACGATAACTTGAACCTACTTCAAGTCATCATCGCCCTAAGGTTCTTTTACTGAGCTACAGAGGCCTAGTCGCCCGCGATCCTTGAGGTCCCATTTCCGGTAGGGAAACACCATTTATATATTGAGGACCGTAACGAGGTGTACCCTCGCCTCGGTGACCCCGTCTCCGAAGGGGATCTGCCCGCTCTCGATCCCTCTCAGCAGCCTCTTTCTTGACCATCACGGTCTCGCAGAAAGAGGTTACGGCCGCCCACGCTGTATCTCCACTCAGCATCGCCGACATGACTGCTGACAAAGAGAGGTTTCGTCCAATATGGGTTACCAGGACATTCCGCTCCGTCTCCCAAGCAGGGCACACAACAAGAGTATGCGTCGCGGAGTCCTCGTAACTTCCATCGCAGTGAAAGCAATTCGCCGTCACCTCGCGTCCGATTTTACACAGATAATCACCAAAGCATCCGTGCCCAGTGATTATCTGTGTAAGTCTGTAGGTGAGCCTACCCTGCCGTCGCTGCATCCAGGCTTCGAAGACCGGAAGAATGGCTTCAATAACGCGTTTATGAGCGTATTGTTCCTGACTGAGCCGAGCACGCCAGATTAGGAAAGCGGAGTGCCGTTCCTGCCGCTTGATGGACTCGAGCGTCTCTTCTGGCTCGCTACGACCGCTCTGACGGAGGGCGCGAATCCGGTGGTACACCCTCGCGTCCATTTCCGCCAGTATGTCGAGTGGTGGAAAGCGAGCCAGGACAGTTGCCGCCTCAAAGGATATTGTCCTGTACCCTCGTACGATCCGGATAGCTATCCGCCTCTGGACACTGTAGATCTTAGCCCTACAACGTCGGAGGGCAAGCCTTTTTGACCATACAGGTGCCCCATATAAGGCCACGGATCGTACAACCCCTGCATAGAGGCGGCGAACTTCTTCTTTTGGTCCCCCAAGATTAGGTAGTAGTCTGTGCATGGCACCCGCTACCCGCTCGATCCGGGGGACTAGACACTCGAAGTGTTCTTCGAAGCCCCAGCGACTATCTAGGATGAGGCCCAGGTACTTCATATACCGACCTACCCTGATTTCAGACCCACCCACACGGACACATGAGTTGGGTGGTTCCCTACCTCGTGGCATCTTATGGAACCACATCGCCTCCGTCTTATGTGGCGCTACTTCTAGTCCCAAATCGTGAATTTTGGCGACGACGACTTCCACCCCAAGCTCGGCGAGCTCCTTGGTCCTCTCAAAGGTGTCCCCGCATGCGACTATTAATGTGTCATCCGCGTAACAAACGATGCTCACATTAGTCGGCAGATCGACACGTAGGACAGCATCATATGCCACGTTCCACAGTAGAGGACCGAGGACAGACCCCTGTGGAACTCCGCAGTGAATCTCCCTCCGGATCTTGTTGCCGTCTTTGTCCCTATAAATGATATATCTATCGCGCAAGTAGTCCGCGATAATGCCTTGCAGATGACGGGGCACTTCATGGTATGATGGCATTCTAGGGTAGAGAGTTAAAGGCATTGACAATGTCTAGACTTATCGCCAATGCCACGCCACCCTGGAAATCTGCCTGATCCGACAGGGAGCGGACGCGCATGATCGCGTCTATCGTAGAACGCTTCTGTCTGAAACCAAACTGACTTTCTGACAGATCGGGACCGACACGCGATAGATGCCTATTGAGACGAGCAGCAAGAATTCTCTCAAAAAATTTGCCAATCTCGTCCAACAGGCAAATGGGACGGTAAGCAGAGGGAGATTCTGCAGATCTGCCTTCCTTCTTCAAGAGGACCAACCTTGACTCTTTTCATGCTGTAGGGAACTTGGAACTACGGAGGCAACTAGTGAATAATTGCCTCACCCTGTCTCCCAGTGCAGTTAGGCTTAGCACCCAAACTCGACCTGGTATTCCATCTGGTCCTGGTGCATTGTTCCTAGCTCTTAAACGGCTGATAGCTCGATCTAGCTCCTGGACGGTCACTCCCATCTCGTCTTGCCAATCCCACGAAAGAACGGGAGGGCCTAAGGGACCTGATCGGTCTGCTGGAAATAGCACATTGATCACTCGTCCCAACAGGTTCGGGTCTAAGGTTTCCGATAGAGGAGGCATCCAGGGCCTAACCCTACCAAGAACCATCCTATAAGGACGCCCCCATGGATCTGTGTTGAGTCCCTCCAAGAGCTCAACCCATGCTCGAGTCTTGGCATTTGCGATTGCGAGATGCAATGCCTTCGTATCCGCTCGGTAAGCTATGTAGAGACTAGCTATCTCCTCAGCCCTTGCTCGCCTTCTTCTTCGGCCCGAAACCAGGTTGCTTCTCTTTCCGGGTCGGACGAAACTCCTTCGGCATCTTTTGACCATGCAGCAACATTGGCGGCAGCTTCGAGCAGGTCTCGATTTAGCCGCTTGAGGCACCAACGACGCGGTGAGCTCCTATCATGGCAACTTGACATAAAATTTGGGTGGCGGGGTGCGATGTCAAAAATAATGTGGCGATGGTCAGATAGCGTGACCATCTCCTCTGCAACCCGCCATCCCGATACCAATTGTGTCGCAGAGGGAGACGCCCATGTTAGGTCAACAATTGACTCCCCCTGCCACCGCACACAAGTACTGACGGATCCCCGATTCAGCAGTCGAAAGTCCAGTCCAGCCGCCCATTCTTTTATAGCCTCCCCTCTTGAATTGTTTCTGGGGTTGCCCCACTCCCTAGCGTGGGCATTGAAGTCCCCGAGAACAATTAACGGGTGAGGCGGGCAACTGCGAACACAGTCCGCTACCTCTTCCAGGTACAACTTGTAGTCGGTGAGTAACCCATTAGGAGTGACGTAGTAACCAACGATGACCAGGGTGCCCCAGTGCGCTGCAACACATCCCCGCCCTCTTTTCAATAGGGTGCAGGATGGGGAATCCATCCTTCCTTCCCAGTAGATAGCTACGGAGCCCGAGTCATCGCCGAACCAGCGGGGATCATCAGGCACAACGTAGGGTTCCGCTATTACTGCTAGGGCAACCCTCCACTCCGTAATAGTCTGCATAAGCAGGTTTTGAGCATTACGGCAGTGGTTAAGGTTACCCTGGAGGACTTTTGATAGGTTCGTGTTGTTTTAAATGTCAGTGACCTCCATCACCGAGATTTCACCCGGTACTGCGGCTGTAGTCGCTGTAGTCACCATGTTGTTGGAAACGTGCGGAACGGTCTCTCCACGTATACCTTTTTTACTCTTTGATTTCAGCGGTTGGGCGCAATTCCTACCCAAACGGTGCCCAGAGGGACGCCCTAAGTCTGAGCAGAGTGGGCATTTTAGGACCGAAGCGGAACAATTCTTCACCGTATGGCCAGGTTCGCTGCAGGCGTAGCAGCGATTGCTACGGTCAACATTATTGGGGCACCGGCTTCCAACATGTCCTTCCTCAAGGCACCTGTAGCAGTGCAAGGGCCTGGGCTGCAATAATTCCACTCGAGCGAATCCCCAACCCACACGTAAACGTCCAGCTGTTGCTATCTTACGGACCGCCGTAATGGGGCATCGTGCCCAGCAAGTTCCCATGCTCGTCGGTGATCGACGGACCTCTCCAACCTTGATGTCGTCAGCCGAACAACCACCCGCGTCAGCAATCGCAGCTGCTAGTTCTGAAGAACCAACAGAGTCATCGAGGTCTCTAAGCCGAACGTCGCCCGTCTTCACTGGGCGATTGACACGGACGTTCGACTCTGAGAGAACCTCTCGTAGCTTAGCCGCCAATTTATCTGCTTTCGGGCCACAGTCAGTGCCGCTGATCTCCATTAGAATACCCCCTGTAACGGCACGCTTTTGTCGGATAGCCTCGATTCCAAATTCCTCTAGCCGAATTTTAGTTTTTGCGTCCTTCATTATGCTACCATAGGTAGCGGTGGAACCCTCCCGTAATGTAATTGTTACAGCCGCAGATGTTGGGGCACGGACTGGTTTCCGTCTAAACTTTGTGGGCCGTTCGTTGGGCACATAGTACTGCGGCGATTTTTGTATCGACTGGTGTACTTTTTGTTTTTTAGCCACATCTGCCCAAGAGTTTGTCACTGCAGATATAGAAGTTTGCAGCACAGGCTTCGCTACAGGAGGTAAATCTGCCACTGGTGGATATGTGGGCTTCTGCCGTTTCTTCTTCTTTTTATGTCTCTTCTTTTGCGACGGTGTTACTGCTGAAAGCGACTGAATTGACGTTGTTAGTTGCTTCGTTGCAACCGTCATGGACTTCACTCCCAGAGGTGGGCGAAGCGCCTTACTAGGCAACAACCGGGCTTCGAAAGCCGCCAATTTACTCTCAACAAACGCTCCAATGCGTTCCATTATTGCCTCCTCGCTACTACTGGGCGTTGGAGCATCTGCATTTGGTTTAGTGAGACTGACTCTTTCATGGGTCTGTTTACGGAGATAGTTCATTTCCTCCGTCAGCTTATCCGCTCTGTTGCTAAGGCTAGAGAGTGTTAAACGTAGTTCAGCATTTTCTCTCTCTAGTCTAGCAATATTCTCGTCCGTAGTGGCCCTTCTGGCAAGCTCTTCAGCTGCGGCTTTTACATTTCGCACGGCTAGCCTTAAGCTCTGAGCGAAGCTTCCCTTTAAATTGCGGGATCGATTCGCTACCTCCTTCGATGGCCTTAAGCTGACGGTCAATGTGGTCTTCAATTATACTGTCAGCCTGAGACCGCAGCTCTAAAGTCAGCTGCTCTGTACTAGGCAGAATTGTTTTTTTGCCCTAGACTTCGATGATGCCACTGAGAGGTCGGCGAAGTCCTCTTCCGTGTCGACCTCAGTAGCCATATCCTCCACTTCAGTAGGGGTTGCCGAGGCAGAGGCTGCTACCGCCTTGTATTTAGCGGCCACCGATTTAACACTTGGAGCCTTTGCCTTTCTTTTTCGCATATCTTCTGAAGCAATTGATACGAGTGACAGCTGTGAACCATCAGACTCAGCTTCTTTGGTTCTCTAGAATGAGCTATGCGTCCCCGCCTACCCCGCCTTCCCCTTGAGTATCGTGCCGAGTTAGTAGATTCTCCCAGCACGGCTCCCTCCTTACAGTGTTGGTCCCTGGATGTTAGGCGACCCGCGGACGATGTATCGCCGCAAAAAAGTGTGTTGCCCCCCCCAGATACGATGGGGCTGCCTAGGCTAGGCCTAGGGGTGGATTCTCCGGCATTGCCGGTACCACCCTGGGGTATTAGTATGTTACCCACTGTTTCCATGTTTCCTTTTATACAAGGGTTTGGTCCCTGAATTTCCCCCCCTTCCCCCTAAGCGCTAGGCACTGGAATACCACCAGAGATTCACCCCATCGGCACGCTCGACCTTAGGGTTGTGAGATTTTTTATAGAGGTTTCCTTCCTCATGGCCATTCATGGCCCCCGCTCCCGAAGGTTTACGGGTGGGGCGGTGTCGGTAATAACCGAAATGCGCGTAGCATATCACCGCAGATGTCACGTCCGCTGTTCTTTGCAAAGGAAAGAAACATGGAGTGACATAGAGCCTCGAAGGCCCTCCTCGAAGGCAATCCTTCTCAGGATTCCCTCTTGGCCGTTTCTCGAATCTCAAAATTAAGATTCGAGGGTACGCCCCAAGCCCAGCCAGTTTTGGTCCACGACGGTTTTTTTCGCTACCACCCATATCTGGGTGGCATTCCCCTATACGCCACCTGGGGACGCGCCCGATGGGACATCTGGCAACTCCACACGGGCGCGTGGTGGACTATACCTTCCCTCTACCTCTGGATACCCTCTGTATCGAGGAGGCCTTTGCCCAGCAGTGGGATATGTATAAGTTGTTACTTTACTACTTTACTATGAAGCCTTGCTATATTAGCAATTTTTTCAGTATGCTGCACTTTGAGATCTAAGTTTCATTTCCAACTCTGCATTTTATTATAGACTCACTGTACTTCCTTGTTGATTAAGTTCAGGACGATTTAAGAAAAGTGGGCAAGAATTAATAGCCATGTAGTACATGATGTTTTACCTGGCGTAATAAAAGATTTTCTCAAATGTTATCAAAGCGAAAATAACTAATTACTTCTTTTTTTATTTAAAAAATATTTTGAAATACATTGTCCTAACACAGTTATGTGCCTATGTGCCTAACATAATCTTTTTTATCAAACATCCTCAATTTCTCATTTCATTCATTCTTATTTAAATAAAAAATATAGTGTACCTTTCGTTAGTGCTGTGCATTCATTGTTATCTTTTGCCGTCCACGTAACGTACATTAAGATTTCAATATTTCATATAGCTCAATACGATCTGTTATGGAGGAAGTGTTAATATTTCAAAACGACATCAAATAGAAAATGCCGACAATCACGTGTTTTCAAGTCGCGACGATCTGCGAACGCCGAGGTGCGTGGTCGATAATCCCTTAGTTTATTAATATAGCCGGCGACGGCACCAAATCACTGCGCATAAAGTAAAACGCATCAAAACTCAGACAGAAATACAAAACGGCGCGTCAGACAGACGGACCGGCAGACTGCGCGTATTTATAGACATTTTTGTCCAACCTGCGACCGACGCGACGGCAGATATTGAAATATCGCCGCGCGACGACTTTCCCACTGTAGCGGATTCCTCACTTGTACAATTTTGTTAACGACAAAATTTATGGCGTACTCTGGCAATTTATTACGCTAAAGGGGGATAAATCACAGCTCGAGGTCTGCCCGCGAAGCGGACGCTGTGTCCGCGGCGGTGCGCGTAATTGGAGGAGGGCATTTTTAAATAGAAGTTTCGGTTCAATTCGGTGAACTGTCACAAATGTACGCGAGTGAATTACGAATGCGTTTGTTTCTGAGCTACGATCGAAATATCTCTGGATGCTTTTTACCAACGAATTTATTTAAGACCGTTGCTAGATGTATTAATATTAAAATAATTTTTATGCGTTGCACGTGGTTACTATCCCTTGATAATGTAAGTTCGGGAAGCGGCGTTTGTATTCAAAATATTTTTTTATCATTATTCGCTAGGTTCAAGACATGTAAGCCGATTTTAACTGAACTTATTTATCACATATAACGCGTAGCAATAAAATAAAAACAGTCACCAAATAATAAAATACAGGTATTAGTCATAGCTCAAATATATAATAAATAAACTTACCTCGAGATAACCTACACCCTGACTACAGATTAAAAAGATTAAAAACCTTCTTTCCTTCAAACTAAATTAGACGGAGGGATCAAATTCGATTTATAACATAATCCATCTTGACACTGATGTAGGCTATAAAATTTATAACAAAAATTTTAATTTGAATTGCCACTTACCGTAGCTATTCTTCTTCAAATGCTTTTTATTAAAATATCCCCTTAAGCATATATATTTAAAGACACATTTTTTACACAACGTTCTCTAGTCCCAAACTAAGCAACGCTTGCACTATGGGTACTAGAAAACTTACATACTTAAACATCATCTTTGAATCATCTTTTGTAAATAAATACACATTACTAGAAAAACCATGTCACCATGTTGTTGGAAACGTGCGGAACGGTCTCTACACGTATACCTTTTTTACTCTTTGATTTCAGCGGTTGGGCGCAATTCCTACCCAAACGGTGCCCAGAGGGACGCCCTAAGTCTGAGCAGAGTGGGCATTTTAGGACCGAAGCGGAACAATTCTTCACCGTATGGCCAGGTTCGCTGCAGGCGTAGCAGCGATTGCTACGGTCAACATTATTGGGGCACCGGCTTCCAACATGTCCTTCCTCAAGGCACCTGTAGCAGTGCAAGGGCCTGGGCTGCAATAATTCCACTCGAGCGAATCCCCAACCCACACGTAAACGTCCAGCTGTTGCTATCTTACGGACCGCCGTAATGGGGCATCGTGCCCAGCAAGTTCCCATGCTCGTCGGTGATCGACGGACCTCTCCAACCTTGATGTCGTCAGCCGAACAACCACCCGCGTCAGCAATCGCAGCTGCTAGTTCTGAAGAACCAACAGAGTCATCGAGGTCTCTAAGCCGAACGTCGCCCGTCTTCACTGGGCGATTGACACGGACGTTCGACTCTGAGAGAACCTCTCGTAGCTTAGCCGCCAATTTATCTGCTTTCGGGCCACAGTCAGTGCCGCTGATCTCCATTAGAATACCCCCTGTAACGGCACGCTTTTGTCGGATAGCCTCGATTCCAAATTCCTCTAGCCGAATTTTAGTTTTTGCGTCCTTCATTATGCTACCATAGGTAGCGGTGGAACCCTCCCGTAATGTAATTGTTACAGCCGCAGATGTTGGGGCACGGACTGGTTTCCGTCTAAACTTTGTGGGCCGTTCGTTGGGCACATAGTACTGCGGCGATTTTTGTATCGACTGGTGTACTTTTTGTTTTTTAGCCACATCTGCCCAAGAGTTTGTCACTGCAGATATAGAAGTTTGCAGCACAGGCTTCGCTACAGGAGGTAAATCTGCCACTGGTGGATATGTGGGCTTCTGCCGTTTCTTCTTCTTTTTATGTCTCTTCTTTTGCGACGGTGTTACTGCTGAAAGCGACTGAATTGACGTTGTTAGTTGCTTCGTTGCAACCGTCATGGACTTCACTCCCAGAGGTGGGCGAAGCGCCTTACTAGGCAACAACCGGGCTTCGAAAGCCGCCAATTTACTCTCAACAAACGCTCCAATGCGTTCCATTATTGCCTCCTCGCTACTACTGGGCGTTGGAGCATCTGCATTTGGTTTAGTGAGACTGACTCTTTCATGGGTCTGTTTACGGAGATAGTTCATTTCCTCCGTCAGCTTATCCGCTCTGTTGCTAAGGCTAGAGAGTGTTAAACGTAGTTCAGCATTTTCTCTCTCTAGTCTAGCAATATTCTCGTCCGTAGTGGCCCTTCTGGCAAGCTCTTCAGCTGCGGCTTTTACATTTCGCACGGCTAGCCTTAAGCTCTGAGCGAAGCTTCCCTTTAAATTGCGGGATCGATTCGCTACCTCCTCGATGGCCTTAAGCTGACGGTCAATGTGGTCTTCAATTATACTGTCAGCCTGAGACCGCAGCTCTAAAGTCAGCTGCTCTGTACTAGGCAGAATTGTTTTTGCCCTAGACTTCGATGATGCCACTGAGAGGTCGGCGAAGTCCTCTTCCGTGTCGACCTCAGTAGCCATATCCTCCACTTCAGTAGGGGTTGCCGAGGCAGAGGCTGCTACCGCCTTGTATTTAGCGGCCACCGATTTAACACTTGGAGCCTTTGCCTTTCTTTTTCGCATATCTTCTGAAGCAATTGATACGAGTGACAGCTGTGAACCATCAGACTCAGCTTCTTTGGTTCTCTAGAATGAGCTATGCGTCCCCCGCCTACCCCGCCTTCCCCTTGAGTATCGTGCCGAGTTAGTAGATTCTCCCAGCACGGCTCCCTCCTTACAGTGTTGGTCCCTGGATGTTAGGCGACCCGCGGACGATGTATCGCCGCAAAAAAGTGTGTTGCCCCCCCCAGATACGATGGGGCTGCCTAGGCTAGGCCTAGGGGTGGATTCTCCGGCATTGCCGGTACCACCCTGGGGTATTAGTATGTTACCCACTGTTTCCATGTTTCCTTTTATACAAGGGTTTGGTCCCTGAATTTCCCCCCCTTCCCCCTAAGCGCTAGGCACTGGAATACCACCAGAGATTCACCCCATCGGCACGCTCGACCTTAGGGTTGTGAGATTTTTTATAGAGGTTTCCTTCCTCATGGCCATTCATGGCCCCCGCTCCCGAAGGTTTACGGGTGGGGCGGTGTCGGTAATAACCGAAATGCGCGTAGCATATCACCGCAGATGTCACGTCCGCTGTTCTTTGCAAAGGAAAGAAACATGGAGTGACATAGAGCCTCGAAGGCCCTCCTCGAAGGCAATCCTTCTCAGGATTCCCTCTTGGCCGTTTCTCGAATCTTAAAAGATTCGAGGGTACGCCCCAAACCCAGCCAGTTTTGGTCCACGACGGTTTTTCGCTACCACCCATATCTGGGTGGCATTCCCCTATACGCCACCTGGGGACGCGCCCGATGGGACATCTGGCAACTCCACACGGGCGCGTGGTGGACTATACCTTCCCTCTACCTCTGGATACCCTCTGTATCGAGGAGGCCTTTGCCCAGCAGTGGGATATGTATAAGTTGTTACTTTACTACTTTACTATGAAGCCTTGCTATATTAGCAATTTTTTCAGTATGCTGCACTTTGAGATCTAAGTTTCATTTCCAACTCTGCATTTTATTATAGACTCACTGTACTTCCTTGTTGATTAAGTTCAGGACGATTTAAGAAAAGTGGGCAAGAATTAATAGCCATGTAGTACATGATGTTTTACCTGGCGTAATAAAAGATTTTCTCAAATGTTATCAAAGCGAAAATAACTAATTACTTCTTTTTTTATTTAAAAAATATTTTGAAATACATTGTCCTAACACAGTTATGTGCCTATGTGCCTAACATAATCTTTTTTATCAAACATCCTCAATTTCTCATTTCATTCATTCTTATTTAAATAAAAAATATAGTGTACCTTTCGTTAGTGCTGTGCATTCATTGTTATCTTTTGCCGTCCACGTAACGTACATTAAGATTTCAATATTTCATATAGCTCAATACGATCTGTTATGGAGGAAGTGTTAATATTTCAAAACGACATCAAATAGAAAATGCCGACAATCACGTGTTTTCAAGTCGCGACGATCTGCGAACGCCGAGGTGCGTGGTCGATAATCCCTTAGTTTATTAATATAGCCGGCGACGGCACCAAATCACTGCGCATAAAGTAAAACGCATCAAAACTCAGACAGAAATACAAAACGGCGCGTCAGACAGACGGACCGGCAGACTGCGCGTATTTATAGACATTTTTGTCCAACCTGCGACCGACGCGACGGCAGATATTGAAATATCGCCGCGCGACGACTTTCCCACTGTAGCGGATTCCTCACTTGTACAATTTTGTTAACGACAAAATTTATGGCGTACTCTGGCAATTTATTACGCTAAAGGGGGATAAATCACAGCTCGAGGTCTGCCCGCGAAGCGGACGCTGTGTCCGCGGCGGTGCGCGTAATTGAAGGAGGGCATTTTTAAATAGAAGTTTCGGTTCAATTCGGTGAACTGTCACAAATGTACGCGAGTGAATTACGAATGCGTTTGTTTCTGAGCTACGATCGAAATATCTCTGGATGCTTTTTACCAACGAATAATGATGTTGGCGAGTTATTTAAGACCGTTGCTAGGTGTATTAATATTAAAATAATTTTTATGCGTTGCACGTGGTTACTATCCCTTGATAATGTAAGTTCGGGAAGCGGCGTTTGTATTCAAAATATTTTTTTATCATTATTCGCTAGGTTCAAGACATGTAAGCCGATTTTAACTGAACTTATTTATCACATATAACGCGTAGCAATAAAATAAAAACAGTCACCAAATAATAAAATACAGGTATTAGTCATAGCTCAAATATATAATAAATAAACTTACCTCGAGATAACCTACACCCTGACTACACAGATTAAAAAGATTAAAAACCTTCTTTCCTTCAAACTAAATTAGACGGAGGGATCAAATTCGATTTATAACATAATCCATCTTGACACTGATGTAGGCTATAAAATTTATAACAAAAATTTTAATTTGAATTGCCACTTACCGTAGCTATTCTTCTTCAAATGCTTTTTATTAAAATATCCCCTTAAGCATATATATTTAAAGACACATTTTTTACACAACGTTCTCTAGTCCCAAACTAAGCAACGCTTGCACTATGGGTACTAGAAAACTTACATACTTAAACATCATCTTTGAATCATCTTTTGTAAATAAATACACATTACTAGAAAAACACTGCGCTCATCACACAATATTTTTCCAGTATTGGGGATCGAACCCACACCCTCTGGCGCAGAAGGCAGGTACTACCGACTACGCCATTCGGGTCGTCAACCGCGTTGGTTCAATGCCATGACCACGATGATCTGAAATAAAATAATAATATTCATATATAAAATATAATATCTTATATAGCATGAAATAAACAACATATAGCTCAGAAGATTGGGCGGGCCGCCCATAGTCACTTCAGCTTGCTAATCTTGTATGGCTCGTAGAACCGATAATCTTGGCGGGAGCAAGGCAGCCTCGAACTGGGCATCACAGTGTAGGACGACCCCCCTCTAGATGGAGTGACGACCTGTGCAAATGTGCGGGAAGTCGATGGATGCAGGTGGCCCAGGATCATACTTCGTAGCAGTCTAAGGGGGAGGCCTATGTTCAGCGGTGGACTCAAACAGGCTGAAAATGATGATGACGCTAATGCAACATATTATTATAATGTTAACTCTCAGACACCGATACTCATATACGTAAGTCACTATATATTTTTTGTGATGGTATCGTTACACTTCTAAATCGAACTTGAAGGGAAATTATCTGTGTAAATTACAAGTGAACATTGAAACCGTTTTCCATTTCGCTCGGATTTTCTTTTCGCCTCATTTGGTTCTCATAAATAATTTAGCTTTGTCGTTTAGATGCTAAGTGACTTTTGAAAAAGATACTAGCTGTGTCTTTCGAATCTCTATTTCAACGACGTTTAGATTTATTGCCTCATATACAGTAAAGTATTTTTATCGTTCTAACTTTACGTCATGAGAAAGGCAGTGTAAGTAGATAAAGAAATTAATTATTATTCTAACAAGTTCTACCTATGAGTAATGTTCCGATTTTTTTACATTGTTTTATGGTATACTTCTACATAAATCGTTATTTCTATTCTGCTGGATAATACTCCCATTTTAAACCCAACTCTTGAGCCTTTTCTCCTCTTTCACCCTCAACCCGACGAAGAAGAGAAGAACCTCCCCTTTTAACTTCTTCCCTTTTAACCCCTAATAGCATAAGTGCGTGACAGTTTTCTTTTATTTTGTCTTTTGCCCGTTCAAATAATAAACTCTTTTACGAGGCACTGGAACTATTTGTTGGCATAATTGGATTATAAACAGATGAGACGGTGGCGCAGTTGGCTTCACCGCTGTGGGTCGTAGGGTCATAGGTTCGATTGCTACGCGGAACAAGTTAATTGTTCCGGATCCGGATGTTTGTACCTAAGGAAGATTGTATATATGGTGTATATACTGGTGAAATGCGCGATAATATCATTTTACATTAAATACGTCACAGTGGTAAGTTTTGTCTGGTGAGTGAGGTATAAGAGGGCCACTTTATAAAAAGATAGCAACGCGTCTGTAACCCTACGGGTGTTGCAGATGTCCATGGGCTGCGGTTATCGCTTGACATCAGTTGAATAGCCAGCTCGTTTGCCATCTTCTCATATAAAATAAAGACTGAAAAAGAAGTGAAACTATAATATAAGTATTCCAAATCACTTAATCTATTGTAATTCCGGCCAAGGTACTCTTTGTACAGATTTACTACTAATTAGTTCAATATATTTCTTATAATCCTACGGCGAATTATTTACGGAGAGCCGTTCATGAATGCACCTCTAGTGCGAATTATTTATGAGAAGGTATTAATAAAATATCCGAAAGAAAAAAACATCGAGGCCGGCTCTATCTTGAGTAACGTACGCGGCACCGCATCGGACGGAAATACGGCCAAGTGCGAGTCGGACTCCCGCACGAAGGTTTCCATACCATTATCTATGAAAACGTCAAAAAAATCACGTATGTTGTATTTCCCGCTTAAATATTTTTTATACTAAAATTATTTTTTGTTATAGCGGCAACAGAAATACATCATCTGTGAAAATTTCAACTGTCTAACTATCACGGTTCATGAAATACACCCTGGTGACGGACAGACAGCGGAGTCTTAGTAATAGGGTCCCGTTTAACCCTTTGGGTATGGAACCCTAAAAAGGGATCATGGCAATAAACGCTCATTTATATTGATTAGACCGTACGCCATGGAATTATATGATAATATATGACGAACAGTGTTAATCCGAACGGTCATCGTGGGACATACGAGTATTTTCTCCCGCAAAATATATTCATACGTGTACGCTTCAAAAGAAATTCTAGCCTATTTGTTCCTTTTCACGACAAATCTCCGGTCGTTTGCTAGTGACAGGTTCATTTTGGTCCTTTTCCTTTTGTATACACACATGCGTTTCCACAGGAATTACTTTACCTTTCTTTGCCCAATACCTTTAAGCGGACACGGTATTTTGAAGTCGATAAAAACCTATTTTTGAAAAAATTTTAAGTACATTGTGAAATTAT